CTCTCTTTCTCTCTCTCTCTCTTTCTCTCTTTCTCTCTCTCTTTCTCTCTCTCTGTCTCTCTGCTGAAAAATGTTGTTTCTGGACTGAGAATATTTGAACAGCTCGCCTGCGAATAGGCATATGCTTGTTTTGGTAGCTTTTTAATTAATTTTTCTTTATCAATGACTTGTTTATCTTCTATTTTACCAGTGAGAGCAGAGTTATGTTCAAAGCCATTAGCCAATGTCGATTCAAGCGTTCCAAACACTGCTTGTCGCTTCTTTGTTGTGCTTATTAGTGAGCAGCCTTCGCGGGATTTTTTTTTCATCATCTTTATTTGACTTCTTTTCCTTCTACAAAATTCTCAAAAGTCTCCCAATAAACCATATTTTTGTTGCTTTCATTTTCTTTTTTTTTTTTAATCTTTGATAATTGTCTAGCATTCACAAATACACAGGCGGGTGGTTGGAAGGCGACACTGGTAGGTCCTACTTCTTTATTATGTTCCCTCTGTTGCTTCTGCCTGTCTCTTACTTTTTCCCCAGCGTTAATAAATGATCATTGTTGTTTCGATACGCTTCTCTTTCCTCCAAACAAATTAAACAAACAGCTGTACAAAAGGGTTGACCAAACATAGCCTTTTAGAAACAACAAATTAGACTTGTTTTAGTTTAACATTTGGCTTCGTGGTATACCCCCCTCCCCCCCCTCTCTCTCTCTCTCTCTCTCTCTCTCTCTCTCTCTCTCTCTCTCTCTCTCTCTCTCTCTCTCTCATTCTCTCTATCTCTCATTCTCTCTCACTCACTCTTTCTCTCTCACTCACTCTTTCCCCACCCTTAAAACATTAAGTCTTAGACGACATAATGATATATATGATTGATATATACATGTAAATTTACAGTACGCATATCCTACGTACGTTGGATAATACGTCTTGTCATGGTGTAGTCTGTACTTGGCTGAATGGTCGTGGTGGACATAGCACTGATTGCGCGGCGGATAGGAGGCCAGCGATGACGTCACACATAGTGTCACCACCACCAACGCTAGTGAGAACTAATTCGCAAGGAAAGAAATAATAATAATAACAATTTTTGAAGAAAAAAAAACAACAAACAAAAACAGCAATGTATCCTTTTACCAAATCGGTTTTTTGCAGGAGAG